TATATATATATATTTTTTTAATTATTCTTTGTAATGTCTGCTAGATAATATAAAAAGAAAATTGTTAGTAACATCAGTAACGATGACGAAGTAATCCATTTTAAATTAAAAATAGCTTATTCTGAGTTTTAATCTAACGTGGAATAACATTGCTTGAATTTATTGAATTTTTTTTACTGTCCTATTTTTATTATTATTAAAAAAAAAAACATACAATGGTTCAATTTAAAAACATAAAAGTGATCTTGGTATTAAAAAAAAATTCTTTCAGTCAATTTGTATTATTATAAAAATCATGACAACAGACCTTTCTTTGATTTATACATGCAATTATATTTGATGTATAATATCATACAAAAGTATATAAATCAAAGTTATTAAGTAAATATACGAATAGTTTAAAAAGTTGCTTTCAATAATTGACTAAGGAAAAGTTAACGACGAAAACATAGATTAGAAAGATAAAGTGAAAGTAAGCTTTGAAAGGTGTTTAGAATGGCTCAAACGAGTACGTTGAATAATACAGAATGGTTGACAGTACCTCGGAGAGGGCAAGTATGTCCGATTATAACAAAAGTGAGGAGAGACGTAGCCCGGCTCATTTGTTATTAACCGGCGGATGAGAGCCCCAAAGTGCTGAAAGATTTTGAACACGACTTCACACTTTGACTCCAGCTCCCTGGTAAATTTAGATAATTATCAACTGAAGTTCCAACGAAGGGAACTTTCTCAGGAACCTCTGACCGATCGAAGATCTTCGTTTCTTAAGTGTTTTTTTTTTTCGATATTTTATTTTATTCCATTTTAAACTTGATTCACTCTGTAACGTAGTATTTGTAATTCAAACTTCGAACAAATTACTTTTAAATTTATTTATTAATCAACGGTATAATCATCAAAAAAATGTATTTAAGATTTAGAATAATTTAAAGAAATAGATTTATATAATGCTTTAATTTAAATATTTATTTATTTTTATCCTCCATTTTATTAATAATAATCTTAACAGTGAAATATTACCATTAATATAAATCGTCGAAATATACATATATGTATATGTATACCCTTATATACATATATATATACATATTATATATAGCATTATATATATATAATGCTATATATTACATTATGTAGTATATAAGTATGTATATATACATATATACATGTTATATATAACAGCGTACGTAAAAATAATACATAAAAGTGATGAAATTCGAAAATCTATACTGGTATTCGTAACAGAACGTATAATATGGAGCTCTACCGATGTATTTCCTGGCAATCAATCGTGAGTTTCGGATTGGATTTATCGACGAGAAGCACCTTTTGTTGCGGCTGCACCAGTGCACCATTCTACCATGGTTAAACAAGGGAATGGCCGAATTTACTGATTGATCTCGTCTCTCATAGCCGGAATATACACGACGATCGTTTCGAATTTCGGATGTGCCGGTTACATTGTAAATACCACGATTCATCTGAAAATTTTAAGTGTCTATAGTACATACAATACGAATATATTATTATATAATAAATATTATCTAAAAAATAATTTCAATTTAATTTTTCTTTAATCTCGATTTACAATAAATCTTTACACGTAATAAAAAAGAAACAACGAATTATATAAATACTATTTAATTTATCATAGCAAATTTTATAACGATTGTTGTCATGGGCTTAAAATCAGAAAAAAACAAATCATTCATCTAATAAAGATAGGGATAAAGATAGAGAAGAAAACAGAGAGAGAGAGAGAGAGATAGGATTTCGTCGTATTCGGAAAGGATCGGGAATCATTCCCAAACACGATTGTGGTTGATTTACAATCGGCCATGCATGTTCTCTGATAATCAAACGGGAGTTTCCGATTGGATTTGACCGTTGTGCGCGGCACCGTCTCCCAATATTGTAGCGTGCGTTGCAATACCGTGTGCTACTACTACTAACTCCTACAGCGAAGGAAAATCAATTAGCCGGGCTAACTGATCCGGTCGCGGCTGTTTGTTCGCTCGCGAGTGTTCTGTCCTATGCTTTCTATCGTATGCATGTACATACGTATGTATATATGTATGTATGTATATATATATGTAGTGAATAGATGTACTTGTAATGACTGACAGACAGCATTATATGTATGTATGTATGTATGTATGTATATACACATTCGTTGTGTATAAGAACAGATATACACATACTGACGATTCGATGGACCTTTGTATTTACCGTCAATGTGTACAACGCGTACTAAAGCACATAGTACACACATAAACACACACACACACACTCACACACACACACACATACAAATAAACATCCACGAGGGATCTATGATCTATCCATTCATATATGGAAACGTGTAGCTGTAGGTATATAAATATACTTCGGTTAAAGTATATACATTTTCGTGTATATGCTTTGTTCGTTTGTTCGTAGAAGATGGAGAAACACGTTTGTACGACCTCTTTGAATATTTGTAGAGTATTATCATGACTTTAGATACGGTCGTTGCCAAGTTCTATCTGCTAGATCATAAAAAGCTTGCAATGTATACCATTAAGATGATTTATCAGTTGATTTTATTTTTTTCCCTTTTGAGATTTTGTTTATTATATAGTTGAAAAAATAAGTATTTGTAGAATTACAACATCATATTGATGTTTACTGTAGTTTTGTGTTATAATTTATTTAATAATTATAATATTTTCATTCTTAATAGTTACTTATAAGTGGATGTACAATATTTGTCTTTTCTATAAATGAAAAAGAAAGTTAATATTGCAGGAAAGGGGTTATGTATTTTCTACGTAGTGTTTTCTTTTTTTGCTTTTTTTTTTAAAGTAATATTTTTAGAAGATCGTAGTGAACTCTATATCAGGTAGAGATAAAGGGTAAAACCACTATGAGATGGAAAATTCGTAAAGCCTGGAACACGACGCGTCCCTGACAATCACCCTATCCTATTCCTCTTGTCAGTTTCTATCCTGCTTTCAAGGGACATCCTCGGGAACGTCACGCGATATGACAATTCTGTCGGTCTATTTCAAATTGAAAATTATTCCGAGATATGTTAAGGGATCATCGACAGTGCGATGCAAATGTCTATACGATGTGCGATATTAAAATATTATTATTATAATTAAATTTAGAAAAATAAATAGAGTTGCTTATATTAAAGTATGAGATATTATTACTTATACTACTGAAATGAATATAAAACTCTAATAATTTAATTAAAATAAAGTTCTGTGTTTATAAATTATAGGAAGATGAATTTGATATCCAGAAATTTATAATAAGACCTTGATTACTATTGTCAAATTTAAATAACGACAAGATTTGGAATTTACAAAACATTGAAGAATAAAAATTTTGAGATCAAATCGTGGCATGCTTTTAATCGTGACGAAGTCTATTTAAAAATTCAGTAGGAATGAAGGAGTTGATATAAACAACTTCTTTAAACGATAACATAAATAGATAGAATGAAATATGATAATTAAATAAATTTTGCATTACACATTTTTTTTTCATACTCTCTTTCTCTTGATAACAATAATAAATACTACTTTATTGCGTATCTTATATATAATATCTTTAAGAGTCTGTAAGAGTTGGATTAATCTTTAAAAATGTCTAATCGGTCAATTTTAAAATATCTGAAATAGGTAATAATCATTATAACAACAATGAAAATCCATAGTTTTTTTGCATAAAGAATAAATAAATTGACTAATGATAAAGAAAGGACTACAATTTATAAAAAAAAAAAAAAAAAAAATAATAAAAAGAAATGAAAAAAAAGCAAAATATCTAAAAGTCGATGATCCCAAACAATAGTCTGGAAGGTTCGTGACACCGTTGATTGGCTGCGTTGATCCAGTAAAGTGATGTGTTTCACTGTAATAATGCGATCATTGTCATCAGTCAAGCAAGTGCAACGAGATGTAGCAGGAGGGAAAGAGTAGAAAGGAATGAAAGTGTGATGGTAAGGGGATGGGAACGACAGGGAATGGAGAATTACCCGACGCTTTTTTAATAAGGACGATATTGAATTACCTAGTTCTGCGCGCGTATCCAAAAATGACTCATTTAATTTGCGACGGCGTCGCGACGCCGGTGTGCCCCGATTCTGTCAATCTTAACTGTTCGCTTTAAATATACATATTATACGATCGGTGGAAATGAAATATGCAGATTGGATGAATATTAAGTCTCGTTGACAGATAAATCCTTCGCGTTCTCTTCTGCGAAAATCGTTGCGATCGAAAATATTTCGTCTGCAACGGTCATTAAACTCATATTAAACATCATTAAGGATAATAATCACCGAGACTATCGTTTTACGCAAATTTTTTCTCTCTCTCTCTCTTTTTATTTCTTTCTTTTTCTCTTTATCTCTCTTCCTTTCGCTTTTTACAGTGTATAGTTTCGCATTTATCGCTACCTATCATTCGTCAAATTCGATAAATCGAATCGGATGGATATGCAATTGTGTCGTTCGATGTGATTTTCAAGATAACTACTGGAGATGTTTACCTCGAGCCATATTTTTTTTATCGATTTGTTTTTTATTGGGTTGGTGCTCGTCATTTTTATAGGAATAGAGGAATTTTCTTTTATATATATATTTTTTTTTAGCTCTTGTCTATGCTTTTTTTCGCCAGTTACGTCGATCTATATTCGAGAAGAATGAGCATCGGAAAAAGCTTTGGATTTACTAATGGGTTTGTGAAGATTCGTTCGGTTGGTGTATTTTTTGACCAAATTTCAGTGTCTAGTTTCTACGAAAGTAACGGTAAAATTCTATTTTTCGTTGGAATCATTGTTATAACCATACGTATAGGTATCTTATAATTTCATTAAAAGAATACGGTTTTTTTATGCGTGTTTTCTTGTTTTCTTTTTTATTTGAAAGTATAATGTTCGACAATCCTCAATGTTTTTGTCCATATTACTTGCCACGTTCTTTAAAAATGAAATTTTTGATATTGCAGAGTCGTATATTGGAAGATGCATCCATAATGTGCAATTCTTGGTCACCAAGGCATAATGTGAGTATTTTATTCATTTCCGTTAAGAAATATATATATATATATAAACAAAAAATGCGAATATGCGAGAACATAAATAGAAGTGAGGGAAAGAACTGGTTTGAGATTTTAGTTTGTTCCTTTTCTTTCCTTTAGTTCATTTTATTCATTTAATAAATTAGTTCATAGTCTACGAACAACGACTGGCACGACATTGTCTCGAATTACTTTGTAATATATTTGATTTAAATTAAATAAGGATCATTGCACGAAAATCAAATAATAAGAAATTATTTTCTCGACGCAATATTTTCATGAGTTTCATTTTTGATAATGAATTTTATTCAATGTTGGTCGTAAGAAGTTGTATCAACGATGATATGAAGCGAGTGTAAAAAAATATTTGTTTATTTGTTATAATTTTCTATAAATGCATATTTTGTTGTTGTATTTTATATTTTGTTATTCCAGTTTTTTTGTCTATCCCTCTCATTATATATATTCGTAACAATAAAAACAAAAAGTTTAAAATAAATAATAGTTAAACGAAAAATCATGTAAAAAAATTAGATAGTCTCAATATTTGGAATGTTATTTAAAAAAGAATTTATTATTAATTTAAATTACCTATAATGTGATGAATGAGAAATTCGTTTTTTAAACGGCATCTTTGCATTATTATTATTATACAATTGTACCTATGATATCAACTATCGTGATAATAGTTGCAACAAAACTTAGATAATTTGAAAGAAGCACTTGTAAGATTGATTTCTAAAATTTATTATTGGTCAAGAAACTTGAGATCAGAAATAGAAATTTTAAAAGAAATAATAAAAAGATCATATATTTTGTCGTCATGTATAAAATATTAAAATGATATTTATGACTTACAAAACCACGTAAGTAGTTATGATAGCAGGGTACGCATAAACTTACTATCTCGTGGTTACGATTATGGCCGAAAATTGATTATTCAGACAAACGATGAGGTTGTACGAGGATAGTTTCAGTGTCATAAAAAGATCAAAGTGTTATTTATGCTTTCCATCGATGCAATAGACACCTGCACCTGAACATAATTTATTCCATTGACTAATTTTTCTAATTCTTTTATTTTTCTTCGTTAAAAACATATAGAAAAAATCGTCTAGTCCTTACAAGTTATATTCTTTTCTCCGATTAAAGAATTACGCTTTGTTTTGAGTTGTCATAACATTTGCGACGTCTAATCGGAAAAATCATTTTTTGATATTATCAAATCTTATATTTTTTTTTGTCAGTTTTTTTTTTCAGAAAATGTCGAAGATATAAATAAATTATAATTTCTTCTTGCTACGGTATTGATTGAAGAGAAACGAAGAGAGATAAAGAGAGATAGGCAGGTAGACAAACAGGCAGACAGACAGAGAACAGCTTTTATTATTTGATATCACGTTCGATGTTAATCCAAATTTTTCATTAATTGGATTTTTACTCAGGAAGAGAGAGAGAGAGAGAGAGAGAGAGAGAGAGGAGAAGGAGGATAAAAAGGAGTTGGAGGTGAAAGCGGAGGTGGAGATGGTGGTAGACGGGGAAGTTAAGCAAATTTTGAACGCGCTATAACGAAGAGTAGAATAATATTCCTTTCTAGACAGTAGGTACTCCGCCATGCAAGTGATAATTTGAACAGTCTGCTTGTTTTCGTGTCAGACGTCAGATTTTCTGGAAGAATTTATTTATTCATGGCTCAGACTACTCCGCGATGTAGGTTATCGGACGGAAATAACGTAATCGTCCCAATTTGCAATATCCGATAGTCGTCGGTCCCGAGTATACTTCATATTCAGATCGGCATAACCACGATTCGATCGGTAATTAATGACGTAAATATACTCAAATACTCAACTGTTACATGATATTCACAGATGGTTACCTTTTTCTTTTATTAGGAAAATAAGAATAATGAAAAAAAAAAGATCGAAAATAAATAGGGAAACTATCTTTCTCTTATTATTCCTCTCTTTTTCTCTTTCTTTCTCTCATTCTCTCTCTCTCTCTCTCTCTCTGTCTTCCTCTTTTCATTCCACGCATAACAACGTAGCGGAAGCTTCTAATGCAACTTTGATGATCGTTCGATCAGCAAGCGAATAATTCTACGATACGATAATCGGTAGGCGTAAACAAATTTCAATAACCAACATCAATTAAATACGTTCGAATTACATATGATTAATTTTCCAAGGAGATGGATCAATCATAATTAAAATAGCTACCTAACTGTTCTTAGTTTGAATTAAAAATGGTTTGATGATATAGCAAATTAGCTTTTACTCGCTAATTATGATTATAAACATTTATAAGATAAAATATTGAAATTTTTGATTGGAAAAACTGATGAAAATAATTATGATACGATACCTATTTAATAAGTTGTATATCGTCGATTTAATTGCTTTTGTGGGCACATCACAGAGAGAAGGGGGGCATCGATAAATTAACTCCTGCTCCATCTTCCGACAGGGTGCGGTAATTCAATTGTAATTGGCTAATCCTTAACGGTGGCTCCACTCAGAAGACGTATTTAGTTGCTGCTTGGGGTCCTGCCTGTAAAGGCAGCTCAGAAAAATGACTCTATTAACCGCGGCGACGTGGAAAAGCGAAACGCGATAAGGGACGATGAGAAAGTTTGCTAAACAACTCTACGAGCTGTTAACCACGTCCTTTAACAAGAGCAATCTGTATCTTTGCCCCTTTTCTCTACCTCACCCTCTTTCTCTATTTTTCTCTTTATCTGTCTCTCTTTCTCTCTTTCTATCGTTCTCGTTCTGTACATTATAGCATCTTACTGGATAGGAAGGATCGTTCCTGAAATTCGAGAGAACGTATGATCATCTCAGGTGCTTTGGCCGACCCTAAACAAGCCTTCTTCCTTCCATTCGAACAAGAAGAAGAAGAAGAAGAAGAAGAAGAAGAAGAAGAAGACAAACTTACGAAACAAAAGCTCCTACGCGATTTATCGCCCTGTTAACACTTTACACGAAGAAAAGTCATTTTTTCTTCTACCAAACGCAACGTCTATCTCACAAATGACTAACATTTATCTTTAGTTTCTGAGTAATGTCAATTAGGATTGGATAAATAGATTGTCGAACAAACGAGAAGTCCTCGATCTTTTTCTAATTTCAACAAAAATAGCTACTTTAAGTTCTCTCTTCGATCGATTATCAATCTTTCGAATTTGTTCAGGTTAATATAATTTTCATCATGATCTTTATTTGATCTAGAGATTATTCTAATAGTCTTTGATAAAGTATTAATAAATGATTATTATATAATTAAACAATGATAATATTTATGCAAGATTAATTTGTATTTTTGTTTAGCATTTTCGTTAGCATTTGTTAGCATATTCGTTCGAGTGTAAGGCTTACCATTCGTAAGAGCCGTTCAGATAATCGCTTTTTTTTGCGTTTGTAGGAGTAGGTGTCGCAAGGGAATCGAAGTATATCTAGGGATGATCGAAAGAGAAAGGAAGAGAAACGGCGAAAGGGGCTGCCGTCACAAGATTAGAAAAAGTGGCGGCGGTTCAGCAACCTAGAGATAGCGAACAGGGCATATAGGTAGTAGTGGTGCTTGTACCCGACGAAGACACGAGAAGTTCATAAATAATCGAAGCGCCAGAGTACGACGGTGGTTTTCACATGAAACATTGATCGAGCAATGCGGACGTTACCGCTCGTAATGAATATAGGAGCAGTGAATCACCTTTGGCCCCGTCCGACCGAGCATATCGTGCTAACGATATTTTGATAACTCCCACGTATAAATTTTCGTGGTTCGACCTCGTTACCGATACTCGTACTTTGATGAGATCTTCGAGAATCGTTAAACGATTGCATTTTTTGCTTGAACAATTTTCAAGGTCAATTTGAGATATTATTAATGCTATTTGTTTCTTTCGTTCTTCTTTCGAATTTGCGTATGGTCTTTCTTTTTTTTTTCACTTGAATTTAAAATAGGAGTGATTATTATTTTTATTTGTATTTGCGTAGATATAAAAAGGTTGTCTACGTTATTTTTAATATTGTTAAATACGAAATATTATTTTACAGATAAAAAGAAAACATTTACCTTTCTAATAAATATTCTATAGAAATTTATCGAATTAATTCTTTTGTTGTTTTTAAAAAAGAAGGTGGGAAAGAAGACTGAGAGAGAGAGAGAGAGAGAAAAAGGGGGAGGGGAGAAAGAAAACAAAGAATATCATAATCTCTGTCTATCGGTAATTTCAATTAACTTTATAGAAAGGACGTTATGGGAATTGACCTCATCGACGTGTTAAATTATTAATAAAATTCTACAGAGTGGGAGGTTAACATTGAAGACTCATTTTCTGCACGTCAGTTGGTACCCAATTTAAGTTTAATAATGCGACTACGAGTTTTGAAACAATGCAGTTATAAAATACAAAAATAATCAGCAATACCGCTTTATGGCGTTAAACTTTTCATAATTCTTTGGATAAAAGAGAGGTCGACTACATTCACGTTAACAGTTTTCTTTTATTAATGAAACGCTTTTGTTCGTCCATGGTAGGTATTTTATCGATGAATTTTTCCCATTTTACGAACGATTCGCATAATATACATTTCAATAGTCACGTTCGCAGAAGTATTAATTTCTACAATTGTTTTGTGTTGAAAAACTTAAATGAATCGTTTTATTAAAAATAATATAACTTTCTTAAAAATGAAGCGCGCGGGTCGAGTTATCGAATCGTTGTACTAAAAGAATCATTAATGTTTTTTACGTTGAAAAGTAAAAATAACAAATAAATGTAAGATGGTAATCATACACTCATAAATCTGTATTTGTTAAATTTTATTTCATTTCAACGCTTAAAATTAATTGTTATTTAATGTCTGGCAAATATTTGATAGTTTCACATTGTATTATTTGATTCTTGATATTGTAAACATTCTGTGTTACGTGGGATTAATTGAACAGGAAAATAATAATTGAACGTAGGCAATGTTTTCGAATTTGATATATTCTTGGTCGAAGAAAATGTTTTATATTTTTCGAACAAAGTACGATTCTTGCGAGTTTCGCGAGCACGAGTGACAGATGTAGTTGACGCGAAATGTCCCATATAATATCGATTGCCACGTTATAGAAGCGTATCTGTGTAAAAAGCGACCATGAATTCAACTTATAACCGTTATTAAGAGAACCCCTATCGAAATGGGTGAAACAAACCCTTCACGTTCAGAAGAAAAATAACATATATCACGCCACGTCGGATACTGCTTCTGTGCATCCCTTTTACGTCGTATCCTTTCGTAAGAAACAATCAAAATTAATGATCTCAGACAACAGGTACATAAATCAATAAACATAATGACATTATGTATTAAGTATGAATAGAAACATGTTGTTCTTTCAAAAATGTTGATAAAAGTTAATATTTTTCAACGATTTTTAAAAACTAATTTATTATTTTACTACTTTTAAAATCAATTCGATTATTTTAACACGTGTAATCCTGACTGCTTAGAATTTTTTATATTACCTGTAATTATATTAAATACAAATGTAAATCTATAACTTTCAAAAGGTAAAGAACATAAACATTGATTTTTTGTTTATACCATTAAAAAAAAAAATAAACAAACGTCCAGATTACTAACTAAAAATAATATCGTATAACTTTTTAATACTTATTTCCTTCGAAAATATATTCGAATCTGTTTACATGTGCAATCTTCCTCACCTTACGTTTCATGCTATTTTCATTGGCATCGAAAATTGACTTTTGGGGAGGGTTAGAATCGTCCTACTTGGAAATACATAGAAGGGACTAGGAACCCTTACTGCTATCGTCCAGTTTCATAACTAACACCGTTGACTGTCCCGTCTACTATCCCATGGGTCGTCTGGTTAAGTGTCCATCTTTCAGATCAACTCCTGGCTAACTTGTGACGAATGAATTCGATTAGCGAATATTCTGGGGTAGGTGCTGTCGCGAATGCGATTACTAAATTGATATCGTTACACTTTAACGTTATGATAATATTGTACAATTTGTATTTCGAACAGAGAGAATACGTTTCCTTTAGTGAATAAGAAATTTACCGTTTAGTAGATACGTGTTAACGACATCGAAAGTGTGTCAACAATGCTACCTATACTATTAGAGAACACGCAGGCATACTACTGAAGTCTTGGTATATTGTTATGTATAATATAACTAACAAGATGGCACAAAAGTTTTACTGATAGCGCATCAGTTTCGTTATTTAATTTATATGGACTTTCGATCATTTCCATTTTCGTTAGTCAAGATCTTAGTTAATATTATTAGATAATATTTGGAATGTAATTAAAGATAATGAAGAGTAAGACGTTATTTTAAAATTCCAAGGAACGATTTTATACCAAATCGAAAGTCTGAAGAAGTTCGTAGTACACTACTTTGAGTCTCGGGAGAAGAAACTATTTTCGGAATATCGATCGTGTACGGCCACGCTGCTGCAGAATACTCTAGCAGTCTGTTGTCTGGATACTGTTCGATAGGATAGTTTTAAAAGCGAATGAAAAATCCTACGATACGTACGGATTGCATGTATATACAATTTATTCATATTTACATATAGCGTTTGACGTTTTATTTAATGTTTATGTATTTTAACATATTATTTAGAATACTAGAGTAATATACTATAATTGATTTTAAGAAATACATTGATCCCACTGATCATCGTAATCAAGCGATAAATAAAAGAAATGTTTCTTCGATAGGATATTCAAAATTTTGTAGGTAAAAGCTATGTATGTATACGCGTATGACGTGTCTTAAATTGACAGGTAACACGTATCGATATTTATGTACGTCAATCATTTATACGACATGATCATGGAAATACCATTACTTAAAATAATTTAAGATCGATGTATCGATCGAATAACATTGAAAATATTCTACATACAAACATTTTCTATTATATATAACATATTTTTATTATCTGAAAAATTTAAGATTACAAAATATTATCTCGCGGTAATTTTATTTGAAAAATCTAAAAATCGAAATCTATTTAAGATTCATATTTTTTTTTTTTTAAATCAAAAGTTGAAAATTATCACTCACGTGGATTTTTATATTTATAAATGTCTAAGGATAATTTAAGAATCTAGTTAAAGGTATTTGTCCTTATCCATCGATCGTATGTAAGAAATCCCATCTTCAATTACCGTCACGCACGGTACGCTTTCTGTTTCAGGGTGACTTATTCGGGGGCTTGAACAGCGGTCTGCAAGACGGCTTACTTTCGAGGGCGGAGGCTTTAGCCGCGGATTTGGGAAAGCACAACGCTGGCACTCCAATGCCTTTGAAACACGATCCGGTTTCCGTTTACCATCATGGTACTCACATGCCAACCCCCCATCCAAATAACCGGCCGCATCATCAGGTACAATCACACCTCTTTGTGAGTTTGCATTTATGCTATACTACATTCGTCCCTACGGATAAGACCCTTTAATATTTTGGAAAGTTATTCAAAATTAATCTATTTAGTGTTTACTATTAAAATATATTTATTTTCCATGACTTATTGTTATTAATTATTGAAGATGAGATATCACGTTTGATGATGTAGTCAAGAAAGTATAATATATTTCAAAATATTATATTTGTTTTATTGATAATTTCTTTATTGTTTTTTAAGCAAAAAATATACATTTTTATACAATTCGTTGGTAAATATTCAGTTAATAAATTATTATTATATTTATTAGAATATCATTTCTTATTTATACATAATTTAATATATAAATACATAGAAATAATATATAAGAAACATTAAAAGTAAGAAAATTACTGTTCCACAATATGTTAAAAATTATCTCTGAATAACTTTCATTAATTTCATTTCACATTCTATCACTAATTCTAGAAAATATTTTTAAAAATAATACTCAAGTATTATGCTTTTCTAGAAGAAAATTGTTTTACATTATTTTATAATATTTTATACTACTCATTTACTCTATCTTACATGATCTCCTATTGTTTATTTTTATAGTTATTTAAATCAATGACACCAATAAACAATTATGATGTATTGAAACTATAGAAAATCATTTCAAAAATAATACTATGAAAAAGACATAATGCACAATTCTGTTAAGTTTACCTGATGGGTATCGTAAATGAAACATAAGCATAACGTTACTTTATTAACATCGACTTTCGTACTGGTTTGATTCATCGATATAACGATTGCTTTAATGACAAACTCGGTTCCAGCAATGTAGAAAACAGTAAAGTCACGTAGATACATACTAACGAATCGTCTATGGTCCCCAATGCTCGTGCACATGCAACAATAAAATGAAACGAGTTCCGACAGTGAGTTAAAATCGCTGAGAATAATTAATCGAGTCGGACATTTATCGTGGTCTATAATTAATCGGGACTGTTGAAAAATGTAACTTAAGCAGTATGTTCATTGGCGAGCTTAAATAATAGACAGACGAATGAGTGAAAATTTTAATTTTCGTCCGATTTAATTATTGCCATGAATGCCACGTTCAGCAACTTCGTTTGTAATGCAGAAGCAATTTTACTGGTTAAAATACTCGTATGTATATAGACCAGAGAGAGAGAGAGAGAGAGAGAGAGAGAGAGAGAAAGAGAGAAAGAGGGTATGATTTGTGGCTTCGCCAATATTCAGGTTCTGGTCTTCAATTTGTCGAATGCTCCTTTCGCGGTATTTATGCTAATTCAAGCGCAATCTGAGGCTCAACGAGAGTATGAAAGAGTGAGAGAGAGAGAGAGAGAGAGAGAGAAAAAGAGAGAGAGAAAGAGAAAACGAATAGGATGGAAAGAGGGTGCCCTAACCAATGTGCTTCGACCCGGAATGATCGCGTAGGGGCGTTCCTTGTATAATATCCCGGCACTGGGACGACCTGTAATGCTCTCTGCGGGATACAATAAACTTTAGGGATCGTGGATCGCATTCGTACGGCGAAGGTTAAAAATACATTTCATGTAACTCCCAGATATATCGGATTCACGGATTTACGGCAAAACATACTCGTGAAGTTGATTTTGTTCAAATTAGATAGAATAAAAAAAAAAATAGAAAATAATGTTATTAGCTTCTTTTCCTATATTTGCTTGATTTTCTTCCACAATTATCCATTAACTTCATTTTAAGTTTTGAAATTATTAAATCTTCGGTTAATTCGGTTAATTTCTATTAAATTATTCGAGATACTTTTTTTTTTTTTTTAATAAAAATTTTCTTCAATGCTTATAAATACAATCATTGATTAACGGAGATTATTATTATCTTATCGTTATTAGTAGAAAATCAATGAAATGTAAAAATAATATTACACGAAACAGAGGCGAATAGATATCGCATGAAAAAATTGTAATTTTATTCATTTAATGAGTAAAACGCTTCCCTCATTTGTAAGCACGCTCGTTGATCGTTAAGTACCCAGGAGTAGTCCCATTTTTCGACTTCTACTCATTTCCACCCTACTTGTGTTACTACAGATGGTCCAGGCCACCCATAAACTTTGTTTTTATTTGTGACGCTGACGAATTCAATAACAACGATCTTCTTGCTATCCCTGTGGCAATGTGGTGTAACTGGCAACGTATTACGTTCACGGACGCATGTAACGAGTTTCGTATAACCCTAGACTAAAAGAGAGAAAGAGAAAGAAGAAAAGAAAAAGATAGATAGATAGATAGATAGAGAGAGAGAGAGAGATAGAGAGAGAGAAAGACGACTAACCCTAGCATCGTGTCAGTCTAATGATGAAATATTGCAGCGAGTCTCTAGGGCCCTACGCTCACTATGTTGCTCCCTGGTCCCTCACCCACTCTATATTTGCCGTCAAACTCTCTCTGGCGGCCCTATCGTACTACTTCTCGCAACCCTGGCTAACAACTACCCTGCGAAAATTCGTCCTGTACCAGTACCATCGGCTCGCACACTGTCGTACCATCCTATTCTCGCGAGAATTGACGTTTGCGAACGAGCACTCATCACGATACTTCTCTTCATAGTGTTTCGAGGGTGAAAGTAAGAAAAACCTTGAGAGAAAAGATACATGTCTGTAATTACAAATTATAAACACTACATTATAAATTAATCTTTCAATACACACAATCGTTAGAATAAACGATTCATTTTTAATAATAAACGATATATTTCAATTGTTTTTAAAGAATTTACAAGATTATTTTAGAGTTAGGCAACATTATTTGACCAATTTTTACTTTGTTAAGCGGTTATAATTATAATTAGTATAATTCTCTTTTCAAAAAAATTTCGACGAATATACAAAAAAAAAAAAACATTTATTTTAGGACTAACTCTAGAAGGAATTTTGTAGCTCCCACGCAAAGTTTATTCATCCTTTCTAAAACGAAAAAGAAAGGGGTAGAATGAAGCAGGTGCGTTTGCCAGTTAAATTATCGTTATTAGCCATTAAGCGTTCAACGAAATAATAATAGCATTAATACTAATAATATTTGTTAATATTTATTCAATGAAAGTAATTTTTCCGTTGGTATATGCAAAAAGAGAGAAGGGGAGCGAGAGAGAGAGAGAGAGAGAGAGAGAAAGAGAAAGAAAGAAAGACAGAGTTATATCTGGTCTCACGTTCACCTTTTCGCAAAACCGATTCGGTTGTTCGCTTGTGTTCGCGCAAGTGCACCACACTTGAGCTAACTTTTATGACGAGGAAGCCGGCTATAGAATTATCCCGCTCACTCCCCACTTCATGTTCATCGTTTTATCTTACCGGACGAGAATATCCATTAAAAGTACTTTATCCTTTTCATATCTGAACAGGATATTTGAATTTTCTATTCTTCGCTCGTATCCCTGGGAGGTAAAAGTAGGCCGCAGAGTGCTACCGTTTACACACCGATACCGAACCGACCTTATTCTTGCCCAATTTATCTCGACTTAACAACTGAAAACACTTTGGATTCGATTCACATAGATGTGTATATATCTTGAAATTATTTTGTGAAATCCGTTAATTTGTCAAATGACTCAATAAACTTTGAAATAATTATACTGTTTAAATATGAAAGAAAGCAGAATTACATACTTTTATTAGGTAATATAAGACTTCACGGGAGTCGAGTAGTTAAGGTATGAAATTGAAATTTGATCTGTAGATATTAAATTCGATAGAACAATACGACTAAATAGAACATTAGTTTTCAAAGTACAGAAGAAAATAAGAACGCATCACTATAAGTATCGTTGTATTAAAAAAAAAAACAGATTTTAAATTTTGAGTATCAAAGGTTTTAAAAAAACACGCTTTCTGAATGAGATGAGGAAAGATCTAAATGGCGTGAAAGTTCTATTCTTAATCTCTGTTAAGAAAAAAATATTTCATCTAATTTGTGTGCAATGTAAAAAAGGAATACATCAAATATGTTTTGATAAACATCAATATTTTAAATAGTAAATGTTGCAAAAAAAGATTTATCTAAATAATATTAACGAATCTCTTATTGAATATTCTCTCCAAAAATAATTAATATCAAATTTACACTATAGTACGTAATTATATTGACTTTAAAGATGAATAGATAACTTTATAAATGCACAAATTTTTTAAATAAAAATCCATTGTTTTTAAAATGCAACCAAATAAGAAATATTTCGAAAAGTTAAAAATAAGGTTCGAGGATCATTTGATTACGCGAGATGTATGCAAAAAAAGAAAAAAAAAAGAAAAATCATTGGCATAACATTTCAAAGAAGCCCAAGGATACAGAACTAAGAGGAAGAAGAAGAAGAAGAGGAAGAAGAAGAACGAAAATAAGAGGAAGAGAAAGAGGAAGAAGGCCTTATGCGAGGTGCTACTCACAAGGGGGGTAGCGCCACTCAGAGCGGTGAAAAATATGAAGGGAGCTCATAAATAATTTGTAAGGGGTCGCGCTTGCTGCGCTGTGACGTCGCTCGTGGCACGTGCTGCATAATTGTGTGAGCTGCCTTGTATACATTTTCTCTTCTCCCTCCAAAGACACTTCCCACTCTTTCTCATTCTCTCGTTATTCATGTACCTGTTTATTCTTTCTTCTTTCTTCCTCCTTCTCTCTTTCTCTATTTCTTTTATATATAAACGCATAAATGCATTTGTTTTCTTTACTTTCTTCTTTTTTTTTTTTTTTTATTTTTTTTTTTTTCATGAATACAGTAATAAAAATGTAAATAATATAAGTACGCGTCTACCTCGTTAAATTTGTTAAAATGACTTTTAAATAAAAATTGCATAACAATTTATCTTTCTGACTATTTCTCTGTCTTATATTTTGAAAAAAAAAAAAAAAATAAAACATTGGATTGTTTATACGATCTAACATAAAAATTTGGCGGTTAGTAAGAGAAAATGCTTTTGATATCATTCAACTAATAATACGCTCGTAAATCGACACGCGCAGACTCGTAACAATCGATTCCTCGAAAGGCCGTCGTCTCTGGACAACGTTATTTTGGCATTTTACGCTGATTTTTTTTTGTTCTTTTTTCATCTGTATCGTGACCTCCTAGTGACGATAGTTAATTTTGACAGAAGTTTCATATGGAGACGATATCGATGATATTTCTTCTTTATTACGAGATATTGAGATAATTCGTTTGCACGAATTTTAACTGTGACCTTCCTTTTACTATCGCTGTCATTTTTCTTTAGCCAGAATTTTATTTATTTATCTTGTTAACGAAGATAACTCTCGAGATGAAGACTCGGAAAAATGTTTAAGATACCAACGATGACTTTCACGATCGTTTGACGCTTCAGAAATCGAAGCATGCATACAAAAGCACGGTCCTTTAATTATTTACTAATAGTTTGAAAATTTAAAGCTACAACCACATGATACAAGCAATCGTGAACATAGTCGCAAATAGCCTAAATAATCCGATAATATTAATCATTTATACTATGAATAGATCCGATCGTAATGCATAACTTATTTATCCTATCAAATATCCATCTTTTTTTTTTCGAAAAAATTCATAGTTAATGTTAGATGTATCACTGTTATCATTTTTATTTATTTAAGAATATATTTTTAATTTCGTATTAAAAATAATTCGGTTTAATTTGAATTTTTAGATTAAGAATAATGAATCAAATATTATTTTTCACGATTAATCATGAAGTTTTAATTAACAAATTACGATCAGGATGTAAAATAATATAATCATAAAGCGAGAAAAGCGTTGTTTCTACTTATTCTTCCCACAAATTTAACCTAATAAGTTTAATATTACTTTTGATTTCCCGCTAAATCTTTTTTAATTCAACTGATTTTATTAAACGGTCAAAACGAAAACGAGTTCGGATAGTACTTGGATCGATCGCCCCCTTTGATACTTTCCATTCTTGAACATTTATTTTCAGATCATTGAAGGAATAGAACAAAATGCGAACGTATCTTATTGTAAGAAATAAATGTCTTGTCTCTAATGAGCTAGTATAAATTTAATGTATGAGAAATTCTGTACATAGTTTGAAAATGAGCAGAAGTATGTAAACGAGAATATAGAAAATATAGATAATATGGATAATTGGAGATATTGATATGTAGATGGAAGAGAGAGAGAGAGAGAGAGGGAGAAGAGTGAGAGTGAAAAGAGATAGAAATAGTGTTACGGTAATCTACAAGTAAAAGTTCAATCATATTGTTGTGGTTGTATTAATTAAATACATTTATACTAGATTTTGATTGCATATTAGAAGACATTTGAATTAATATGAAATAGTTTTTACATCAACCTTTAAAACTTATATTCCATATCGCATTCTGATATTTTAATAAACTTATACAAAATAATATAAAAACGGCAACCGTCGGAAAACTTAGTGAACTTTCTCAAAGGAAAATCGAAAAAAGAAAACTAAAGAAAAGAGAAAGGCCACTAAGAATAACGACGCGAGCCGTAATATATTTAGGTAGTTTCGAGTACGAAGGAACGCGAATTAAAAGTACGTAAATTATCTGTTACAGATGAGTCACCCTGGAATGGAAAGCTTGGATATGTTGGACCCAGCAAACTCGATGACAACGTTGACACCAATGTCTGAGGGAGCTGGTGGTGGTCCAGGTCATCATGCAGGTATACATGGACCTTCAGTGTACGGTGGAATGAATGGGATGATGGGACATCATCATCATCACGGCAACCTCGGTGGTGGAGGTGGAAGCGTACCGCATCCAGCTCATCATCATCCAGCAATGGCAGCAGCAGCGGCGGCGGCAGCAGCAGCCGGTCTTCATCCTGACGCTGATACGGATCCACGTGAATTGGAAGCGTTCGCGGAACGTTTCAAGCAGAGACGTATCAAATTGGGCGTAACACAAGCTGACGTAGGCAAGGCTTTAGCGAATTTGAAGTTACCAGGTGTGGGTGCACTATCCCAATCGACGATATGTCGCTTCGAGTCACTTACTCTATCACATAACAACATGATAGCACTTAAACCGATACTACAAGCCTGGCTGGAAGAAGCCGAAGCGCAAGCAAAAAATAAAAGACGTGATCCAGACGCACCATCGGTTTTACCAGCCGGTGAAAAAAAGCGAAAGAGGACTAGCATCGCGGCGCCGGAAAAACGCTCATTAGAAGCATACTTCGCGGTACAACCGAGACCATCCGGTGAGAAAATCGCCGCAATCGCGGAAAAACTCGATCTCAAGAAAAACGTCGTCAGGGTCTGGTTTTGTAATCAACGGCAGAAGCAGAAGAGGATGAAGTTTGCTGCTCAGCATTGACCCGAGGGTGGCTTGTGACAGCAGAACTGACCCTACCAGTTGCCCAGTCTCGAGCCGAAACCCGAACCCCTGACCGAATTTCAGGGTTGGCCGTGAAGATTTAAATACAAATATCTTCGTCATTTATTTTCTTTATCCAGATCTTCTTCTCCTCCTTCCTCCTCCTCCTCCTCCTCTTCTTCTTCTTCTTTTTTTTTCTTCGATGTGTCTCGATAAAACGGCCCGAGATTTTTACGGCTTGATACTGTGGCCATCTGGTACAACGATCAGCTATCGTCAGTGATACTGTCGCAGGCTGATATCGAAAAGTGGCTACGAAAAGCCGCATTAGACGGTCTCTCTCGACGCGTTGTGACATTGAACGAACCTACCGTGTTTTGGTGTGTCGATTAAAGGACGATCTTGTTTAGCTCTGTTTAAACAACAGGGAGGATTTTCTCCTGTCTTCGTTTTTTACGCTTTATCTTTTTTATCTTTATTTTTCTTTTCTAGTTTCTTTTTTCAATATTGCCTTCCTACCTCATAATCGGCAGAGTAAATAAAAACTCTAGAAAAAAAAAAATCTCCGTTCTCTATAACAACCGGAACAGCGAATACTTCGATTTTACGAAGCGATCCCACGATAAAACGTTTTACGAGCTCGTTTTACCCCTTTCGTCGTCATCGTATACGCCTCCTCTCTCGAGCAAAATGTGTCGCCCCATCAACGAATCGAATCTTTCTGTACTGACTGCTTCATTTTTTTCTGTTTTTTTTTTTTCTTTTTACGATGAAAAACATAGACACACGCGAGAGAATCCTCTCTTGAATAATTAATTAATCAATCGATCGATCGAAAAATCGAGAAAGAAAAAGAGCGGAAACGGAAATAAAACGCGTCTTGGAAAGTACAATTCGAAACATAAAAAAAAAAAAATATAAAGTACATATGTATTGTTATAAAATCGTCGCACGTTCACGTAGCGGCGAAGTAAACAAAAAGTGATATTAATCCTAATAATGACGCTCAGTGAAGTGTTGTAAAGAAGTGAAAGGAAAGAAAGGTAGAAAGAAAGAGAGAGAGAGCGAGAGAGAAAGAGAGAAAAAGGGAAAGAAAGAGAGGGAGAGAAAGAGAGAGAGAGAGAAATGTATGTGTGTGTGTGTGTGTGTATGTGTGTGTGTATGTGTGTGTGTATGTGTGTACGCAAAAGCAAGATAGAGAAAATGAATGTGTGAAAGAAAAATATGACTGGGAAAGAATCTGTGAATGTGATAGACAAATTGATAAAATGGAAGAAAATAAAAATAGGAGAATATGTTTTATGTAGTGATGTTGGACAATCAGTGAAAAGACTGTATCATATCATATTAAAGCAATACACAGTAGCATTAGTTGTCGAATTAAATGAAAAGAAAAAAAAAAGAAAAGAATGAGAGATAACAAGAAAGAGCGACCACGCATATAACCGTTCCTCGTATTTTCCGCGATCGTACATGGACGTTCGATCGAATGTAAAATCGACGAGTACAAAGATCGATTATAGTCGATCGATTTCTATTATTTCCCTCTTTCGTCTAATCAGGAATCGTAAATAATTTACATCGGAAAACGATCGTCTCTCTCTCTTTTTACTATTTACTTCCTATTCTCTAAAAGAATGTGCATATACTATTTACATAAATACATACTTACACACATAATATACACATATACATGAATATACATTTGTACTTAGCATACACAAAATTTTCAAAAGAGTCTCGTCGAAAATCTTTCGAAATCGTCTCTCGGACGATCGCAAATAAAATGAAAATCGAGGAATCGACCGATTCGAATTTCATGAAGATGATCTCGTCTTCTGTATAAACGAATACATATATAAATATATACATATGTATATGTATATGTATATAAATATATATAAATATATATTTATATATATATATATATATTTTCTTCTCGGTAAATTACGCTGTCTACCTATCGACAACGGAATCGGCACATAAGGGCACGTTTTAAACGATACGAACGATCGATACTCGTTGACACTCCATTGTAACGACTTTGAAAAGAGAGAAGAAGATTGCAAGAGCGATAAGACCAATCAGTGGACAGCTCGACTTTTGCTTAAAAGTTATCTCGTGCATCGAGCAATACCACGAGAAAAAGTATCATATTAAGAACTTAATACGCGAGTCGTTGTGTAATAGCTGAACAAAGACACGAGATAGAAAAAGAGAGAGGGAGAATGAGAGAGAAAGGGTGCATGAAAAAGAGAGATAGATTGCGAGAAAGAGAAAGAGAGAAAGAAAGAGAGAGAGAGAGAGAGAGAAAGAGAGAGAGAAAGAAAGAGAGAAAAAAGGATGACAAGTGGTAATCATTTTTAAAAAAACGTGTAAATAAGTAAAAGGATAAGTATTTTCTAGAGGGATAATAGTCCAATTAACTTTCGATTAGATAATCGATAAAAAAACTTTAGTGCAATATAGTAACTAGTCGCGATTCTTTATTATTATTATTATTATTATTATTATTATTGTCATGATTATAGTTATTTTTTGTATTTGTTGTTTATCTTTCTTCCTTCCCTTATTATTTGGTTTGTCTTTCTCTCGTTCGTTTATTAACGAACGATACTTCGACTCGAATTATAATTGATATCATATAGATATAGATTTACTTCTCTACGACTAAACGTGTTATTTTCGTATGCATTCGTTCGCGACGATATGACAAATCGATAGTCCGAACCGAAATCGAGATTATTTGTTAGCCAATCCTTTCATGAACGTGCATACACGCTTAAAGGACTCCGTAATTTGTCCGACCCACTTTTCCTTTATACTCGTATCGCGGATATTTGTTCGACAGTATGGACCGAATTCCAGTTTGGTAATTTATTTGCTTTCCATTTCGAGCATTGAGCGATCGTTTTCTCGCCAATTTCGAACCACAAAATCGTTAGCTCGTCTTGTTTTCATGATTTCGAAAAGACGGCATTCTAATTGAACAAAAATATTATCGACAATTGATATAGCAAGTAAAGTTATATTTTATTATTTTTATTACTGTTTTTTTTACCCTTGAGACGAATTTTTCACTTGCAGCAGAAATTTGGAAATTACGAAAATACGGTCCACGTTCCATTTAATCCAGAAATAAATGATCTTTCACTTACAATGGTAGACAAGACACGTTTCTTTTCTGTAATTTGATGATAAAAATAATAACAATTATAATAATAATATCAAGTCGGATCGACACAATCCGATTTAACTGTCACAAATTGTACAATAACAATCTGTTCGCTGTAATGGGATAAGAAAGGGTAACTTATGCAGTAACCGATACATTCTCACATATTCGTTTAGTTTAAAGGAAATGCTTTATAAAAAATGAGAAAAGTATTCTATAAATAATAAAAACAGGGTAATCAAGTCATATTGCAATATGTTTCTCCCATGATAACTATTATTATAATTATTATAATTATTATTATTATTATTATTATTATTATTATTATTATTATTATTATTATTTAATCTCTCTGTTAGGAGACATTTTTTTCTCACCACTTTCATGAGTTTTCTCTTTCAGTTGCCTTTTATGATTAGCAGAGATTACTATGAAACTATTTTGTTCTTATACCAGTTTCACACAGGGCTCATTATTAGTATTATTATAATTATTATTTATTATCATCGCCATTATCATTATCATCATTATCTCATCATTATGAAGTACAGCTAAAAACCTTGGCAACGTGTCACGATTAACGCGAAATTTCCAACCACTTTCTGTTTTCTATCGCAAAGACAAAAAATGTCGCATATAAACGAAATTATAATTCTCGCAATTATTCATCTAAATATTCGCATATTTTATATATCTTCATATAAAAAATGATGAGAAAATGATTTCGCAAGAGAAACAAATATAAGGAAGAAACGAGAGAAGAATATTGTTACATGAGTGGATGTTTGAATCGTGTAATTATGCTTATTTTAAAAGATGAATTTATCTAAAAGAGAAAGAGTTTTCATTTGCGGCTCGTGAAATTCTTGAAATTTTTCTCTTATTTGTTCGCGAAGAACTTTGAGAGAAATTTTATGTCTCGGTCCTTCCGCGTATATAAACAAAACTAAAAAAAAAAAAAAAACAGTAATCTGTGTGCCAAGTCCGTTTTAAAAAACAGCGTCTGTCTCTGCCGTTTCTTAATGAAAAGTAAACTATATATTTTAACAAGTTCTACGAATTTCAAGATTAGCGATAAGCAAATGTGAAGAAATTTCAAGCGAAAATGATAATTAATATAATAATATTTAACTTTGCAGATTCCATGAATACAGTTACATCGAACGAGCATAATCATTCTATTGTATTATATGGATTACTCTCGTATTATTATTCAACGTTCTTGTGTATGATTTACGTTAATTTTTGAAAAACTATATAACAAAAAAAAAATGTTGGTAAGAAGAAAAGGTTCGGTTATTTCTAAAACAATTAGGCGAACAAACGGTAATTAATTAATTTATTTTTGAAAAAATGCGAATGATCAGGTTGCGTTTTCATCGATAAGTTGAAGATGAAAAAAAAATGTTTAAAAGTGCATACACGCGCGCGCATATTCTTTTCTTTATTTTGCGAAATGATTTTCGTAACGACGATCGAGGATCATTTTTTAGGTGGTTTGTTAACAAGATAAAATAAAAGATAGAAACCGTAAAAGTATTACGTTAAAGCGTACGAAATTTGTATAAAAAGATTACGAGAATTACTAATTATTATAAATAATTATTATCGGTAATTAGTTTAAATGTTTATACAAATTTAAACAAAAAGAAGCCAAAATGAATTGTTAAAGTCTTAAAGTCTTACTCATAGGTGCTCTATCTCTACGTAAAACTTTCATGAAAAAATAATTGCGTTCGTTCTTTTCTGTCATTATTCGATATAGTGTGTGAAGTATGATGATAAAAAAATGTTAAAGACGTCGAAATGCGTATAAACATTCTGACAATGAGTATTATAAAAGCAATTTAAAACTTTAGAAATTACACCAACGAATAAGTAAAACTTTCCTCGCAAATTTATATTACGTATTGTACATAAATAAATATATATATATATATATATAGGTATAACTCTGATTTTATTCTTCAAATTATCGTTAAAGTCGTCTCTTATTGACACAGCGTAGTAACATTGAAACACCATTTATGAGTAAGACTATAATTGTGAAACGATATAATAATATAATAAAGACATATCATAAAATATTAGTTTAATTGCCTAACATTGTAGAGATTTATATGTAAATATGTTGCGTGCAACTTGGAGAGGAGAAGCTCTTAAGAGTTACGATAAAATTATTAGCAAAACAATTGTCGAAATGGTAGTTGCCTACTTCACGTTGTATTTATTAAAATATTTGTTTTCATTCGATTGAGCTTGCATTGCCTTACATTTGTAGGCACTTTCAATAATCTGTAAATAATAATTGAAAAATTGTAAATCTATTTGTAAATTGTTATATAATAATTAATTCACTAGTTAAATTCTATTCGCTTTAGTCTAATGTATCCACATAAATATTAATATAACGCATATTCACGGAAAACTTGACATCTCGTTCGTGTTGTCCCATATCAAGGAGACATATTTTTCTAAACTTACAGTCATCTGATTCGAGCTTTCCCGTCTTATTTCATCAATGAATAACCAACAAATCATACGTATAATAACCATTCGATAGACATCATAAACGAAATATTAAACTACGTGTAAAGAGAAAGAAAGAAAGGAAGAAAAAAAAACGGAGAGAACATTCTTAATAAAAAGAAAGAACAAAAAAATATAAAACACTATCTCTCGAGTGAATAATAACTACTATAATATTCGTTTTCTAACTACACCAAATTGCGCGCAATGTA